TTGTATTGGCTCCACCCCAATAGGACCCAGAGGGTTGGAGGTGCAGGTCTGTTGTGAGGTGAGGTTCCTGCCACCTTGTAGGGGACTTTGTTTTGTTTTATTTTTGGTACCGGGGATTGAACTCGGGTCCTTGCGCTTGCAAGGCAGGCGGCGTAACCACTGAGCTAAATCCCCAGCCCTTGTAGGGGACTTTGGCGACAAGGTCCAAGTGCCTTTGCTCTTGGTTTAGCCTCTGGGTAGGAGACACGTTTCTTGGAAACCTGTGGCTTTCTGCCCGCTTGGCTTTAGCCTTCTTTTGAAAGCAAGAGATGTATTCCTGAATTCAGCGTTCACTGAGTCCCTGCTCTGTGATGCAATGCTGGGGACCCAGCGATGGTCATACTGGACTGGTCTTTGTGTCATCAGACAGGCAGGGCCCAGAGCAGCTCTATAAAGTGATTAGAGTTGCGATGGGGAAAGCCTAAGGTTGAGTTATCAGAAGCTGAGACTGGATTCCCGGGGCATGGTGGGAGCCCAAGACAGGTCCTGATCCAATCTGAGAAGCCCACCGGAGGGCTGCCTGGGGAAGGTGATGGATCCAGGGTTCTCCGCACAGCACAGACTTGACAAATACTTCACCCGACAGCCACGGGGAGGCGTGAGGGTTGACTGAGGGCCACAGGGTGGAAGCTCAAGCAGGGCCCTCCTGGGATCCCGAAGGGCTTCCTTTAGGAGGCGCTGTATGAACTGTCCCAAGGAAAGGGGGCAGGAAACAGTGGGGCCAGGGATTTAGCTCAGTGGCACTGGTCCTGAATTTGATCCCCGGTACTGAAAAAAATAAAAGAACTGCAAGGGCCAGGATTTAGCTCTAGCTCATGGCACTGTACTGCCTCATAAGCTCAAGGTCTTGAGTTTGATCCCCAGTACCTCAAAAAAAAAAAAAAAAAAAAAAAAAAACAGCAAATGGTAGCAGGGTGTGGTGGGTGCATACCCATGATCCCTGCACTCTGGGAGGCTGAGGCAGGAGGATCACAAGTTCAAGCCCATCTTAGGCAATTTAGTGAGATGCTGCTGCAAAAACGGGGTGGGGGCATGCAAAACTCAGTGCAAAGGCCCTGGGTTCAACTCTCAGCAAGTGCAAAGGTCTGAACACAGAAGAGACCTCAGTACGTTTGTACCAGGAGCCAGGGCCACACCCACGCCGAGGCCCAGCCTTATGTCTGAAGAACCTCGGCCCAGTTATACGAATAAAGTTTACACACTTAAGACTGCTAGGTTTGTGTGCATGTCCTCTCTCACCTTGCAGTGGGCTCAGGCTCTGACAGTGAAGCTGGGTCTCCCAGCACTGGAATCCCCCAAGCCCCGGCTTGAGCAAGTAGTGGGAGTCAGGGACCTGTTCCCTCCTCACTTGCTCAGAGCTGTCTCACCTAATTCACTTAGCATCTCTCAGAGCCAGGTGCAGTCGAAGATGCTGAGGAATATACAGCAGTCAGCAAAGCCAAATGCCTGCCTGCCAGAATGTACTGTCCACTTGGTGGAGCTGGTACATTTGACACTTGGAGTGGGCACTTTATTCAAACACCCCTTGTCTCTACCAGAAAATTATTTTCAAGAATAAACATGGGGCCGGGATTTAGCTCAGAGGTTCCACCACCTGCCTTAAAAGCATAAAGACCCGGGCTCAATCCCTGCTACCAGATAAATAAATATGTAAATAAAAATAAACACTGTTAGGGACCTGGCGCTGCCATCACAGGCTGCATTTTCCTGGTGCTTCTTGGCTCCTAAACACCTCATGCTCTTATCTTTAGTTTCCCTCCCCACAAGTCCACAGCAGTCCCGAGAGGTTAAACCTGTTTCTGCAGGACCGAACCCATAAAGGGCAACCTGGCCTGTGATAGGTTAAAGTAGCCGACTCCTCATGAATAATCAATAGCCCAGCCCCAAACCAATAAAAGGACCTTCCTTTCTTTGTTCTCTTCTTCTTCACTCTCCTTCTCTCTCCCGTCTCTATTCATCTCTCTCTCTCTCTCTGTCTCTCTCTCTCTGCCCCTAACCTTCCCTAATAAAATCTCCTGTCTGATCTCTCGGTGTGTGGCCTAGTTGGGCCTAATTGTTGTTGAGAGTTGCTGTGCCTCTACAAACACATACCAAAGAGAAAGAATAAATCCATACATGTGTGAAACCCTGTATTCAAGTCCCCACAAAATAAAGGACAAAATTACAATTTATAGATGTCTTCCTTTTTTTGTAACAGGGATTGAAACCAGGTGTGGTGCAGGCCTATAATCCCAGTCCTCTGGAAGGCTGAGGCAGGATGGCCAAGAGTTCAAGGCCAGCTTGAACTATATAGCAAGACCTCATCTCAAAAAAATAAATAAATAAAAAATAAAGGACTGAATTCAAGGCGTTTTGCACTGAGCTATATCCATATCCCTTTTTAATTTTGAGATAGAGTGTCTCTTAGTCACTCAGTTGCCCAGACTGGGCTCAAATGTGTGATCCTCCTGCCTTGGCCTTCCAGAGTCTGGAATTACAGGCATGTACCACCATATCTTTAAAAATCTTTGTTGGCTTTATTTTTAATTCTAGAACTGGGCAACATTTCATTCCATAAAAAGAATAAGCATTTCAATGAGCTTAGTTTTATAGACAGAGAAGGGCTGAAGAAAGCAGAAACTACAGACAAAAAGTGAATTAGAGGCCAGGGACTTAGCTTAGTGGTGCCACCGTCTGCCTCGCAAGTGCTAGGTCCCAAGTATGATTGATAAGGAAATTTTTAATAGCAAAAACCTAGGGCCAGGGATTTAGCTCAGCAGTTCCAGGGGCCTGCCTTGCAAGCACAAAGATTGGAGTTCTATCCTAGGTACTAAAAAAAAAAAAAAAAAAACCTAGGAAAGGTCACAATGTAAGATAACTTTGTCCTTTGCTTTGTTTAGTTCAGAATTAACCAGCACGGGAAGCATCTAGTCTCTAAAAAGTTTTGTAAATGAAAAGAACCACTGTTAGCTTTGTTGACCAGACACCTCCCTTCCCCTTGGCTAGAACAGATAAATCTTAAAGGTAACTTCCCCTAACAAAGAATGGCATTGAAATTCAACTGCCTTGCTATTAGGTTTTGGGAATCAGCAATGTGAACTGTGAAAATGCAATATAACCAAGTGAATAAGATCAAGGCTGCATCTGGGCACATGGTGGTGCACACCTGTAATCCCAGCACTCGGGAAGCTGAGGCAGGAGGATCACTGTGTTCAAGACCAGCCTGGGCTACATAGTGAGTTCACTACATAGTGAGACCTCTTCTCAAAAAAAAAAAGATCAAGGCTGTAAAACCCTACAAAAGAAGGAGTTGTAACCCAATGGGGAGTTGATCAGGGCACCACCATTAGGTGCCATTCTACTGCCTCTCTGTGTCACTTGCCAGTTCCTTCCATAGCAGGATCCTAAAAAAAAAAAAAAAAAAAAAAAAAAGTGAATTGGTCATTTCAAAGTTACTTTATTAGGTGGGGCAGAGAGATGGAACAATTGGAAAATGCAAATAATGCTTAAAATCTGATTATTTCTTGGTACTTTTTTAGTATAAGGATTCACTCATTGTTGTTTCAATTGAAACTGTTTGGAAAATTTGGCCATTATCTTTCTAATTGTTCCCAGGGTTCCCGGGACTCACTGTCACAGAGCCACATACCCAGCCCCATTCAGTTTCCAGCCAACATGCCATAGGCCAGGGCAGGAGGTTAGGCCAAAACAGTGGCCTCTTGTCATTTTTATTCCACAAGAGATATTACTTAATTTCACTAAAATATTTCACAAATGAATGAAAATTTGAACTTAGCAAATAAAAATGTCACACTCCAAGCCAGGCATGGTAGTGTACAAATGTAATCCCACTGCTGTAGGTGGCTGAGGCAGGAGGATCACAAGTTTGAGCCCGGTCTGGACAATTTAGGGAGACTGTCACAAAATGAAAACAAGAAGGGGCCGGGGATTTAGCTCAGCGGTTTGGTGGCCTGCCTTGCAAGCACAAGTACCCAAGTTCAATCCCCGGTACCCCCCACAAAAAAAAGAACAAAATTAAAACAAGAACTGGGGATGCAGTGCAGTGTGAAGGCCTTGGATCCTTAGCAACACAGACAAAAAAGAAAGAAAAAAAGAAAAGTAGTGGCAAAGCTGGGCATGGTGAGCCTTGTCATCCCAGCTACAGTTTGTTTTGTTTTGTATTTTTCAGATAGAGTCTCAGTATGTAGTTCAGGCAGGCCTTGAACTCACTACTAACTCACTATGTAGCCCAGGCTGGCCTCAAACTTGTGGCAATCCTCCTACCTCAGCCTCTCCAGGGCTAGGAGGCCTGCACCACCACATTTGGCTCCCAGCTGCAGTATTTAGGAGGCTGAGACAGAAGGATTATAAATTTGAGACCAGGCTGGGCATGGTAGTATACACCCAACACGAAGGAGGCTGAGGCAGGAAAATTGCTGTAAATTCAAGGCTAGCCTGGGTTATATAGTTTCGGGCCAACCTGGAATAAACAGGGAGACCTGTCTCAAAGAAAACTAATAATGGGGCCGGGGATTTGGCTCAGTGGTTCCGCCACCTGCCCCGAAAGAGCAAGGACCAGAGTTCGATCTCCGGTACCAGAAAACAACAAACTAATAATGATGAATATTATCAATTAATTAATAATATTGAATACACAATAATAATAATAATTTCAAGTCCAGCCTAGACAATTCAGTGAGAACTTTTCCTCAAAATAAAATTCAAAATTCAATTTAATTTAAACCAGCTGTGGTGGCAAAGTCCTATAATCCCAGCACTCAGGAGGCAGAAGCAGGAGGATCTGCTGAGTTTGAGGCCAGCCTGGGCTCTGTATTGAGTTCAAGACCCACTCCCCCCAACTACATAGCAAGGCCCTATCTCAAAAATCAAACAAACAGGGCTGGGGATTTAGCTCAGTGGTTCCGGCTGCCTGCCTCATAAGCACGATCCCCGGTACCAAAACAAACAAACAAATGTTTCTTCTCTGGGACGCCTGTCTGCCAACCACCCTGGCTTTGGAGGTAGCCGATTATGGACTGAAACCCCTTCAAACTGTAAGCCCAATAAACCCCTTCCCCTCTAAACAAATAAACAAATAAATATGCAACCTCACAATCACCCAGTTTGTACTGTGCAGCTTCATAGTTCTCCACAGAAGTTACCGTACTGGAGTAAAGTGTGTCTAGCATCCAGCACTTCCTACGTTCACTCCGTCTGCAAAACCTCCAGACCACTGCGCCGGATCCTTTTGTTCATTGCTCTCTTCCTGGTCCCCAGATCATGGTCTGGTGTAGAGCAGGAGCTTAGTAGCTATTTATTCACTAGGTAAGTGAATAAATCAATAGATGGATGGGTGGGTGAGGGAGTGAATGAACCAACCCAGCGAAGAAATCATTTCAGAATCCCAGCACTCTGGGAGGCTGAGAGGAGGATTGCAAATTTAAACCCAGCCCCGGCAAATTTACTACAAACTAAAAAAGGAGTGGGAGTGCAATCCAGTGTGAAGGCCCTGGGTTCAGTCCCCAGTAGCTCATACACACACATGCACGCACGCACGCACCCACGCACATACACGGTTCATGGCTGGGGTGTGTAGGGGGCCCAGGGTTCCTCTCCCAGCACGGAGTACTCCAGACTGGACCCCTTGCAGTCAAAGCACCCAGGCCCCAGCACTCTCACCTGCGACCACCAGAGGGCGTGGACAGGCCAGGTCCTCCGGAGCCTCTCGGGACCCCGCCCCTGGGATGCAGGCAGTGGAGTGGGGGAGGCCTAGATCGCTGGACAGGCCTGATCTCTCGGACTCTCCGTGCCCTAAGCAGGCAGGACTGTCGGCGCCGTGGCCTGGCCGCAAAGCTACAGGCAGAGAAACCGAGTCTGGGCGGCGGGGGCGGTGCCCCCACCCCCGCGAGGGCGAGCGCCGCCCCGC